TCATAGTTAAGATGAATATCAATTTTTAAAATGAGTACTACAAAAAAAAAACCTAGAATTATTTTAAAAAATAAAATTTAAGTTTTGTTTTGCAACATTCAGATAATAAATGAATGATAACTAAATTACAATACTATAGTGCAATTATAATATATGTGACTGTAAATGTCAGAATAATGATATATATACATACTATATAATTATATTTTCTTTTCATAAGTCATTACTGTATAACAATTACAAATTTGACAATCATATATGATCATGAGAATTTTGTACTAAGTTGTAAGAGGCTTCTGGGGTCCCTAGTTATTTTTTTATATTATTCATTTGGTTTTATTCTTTTTTTTTTATTAGTATTGTTATTATCTTTGACTTGGCACAGATCTCTAAAGAATTAATATGTAGTTCTTACCCAATTTGGAAGCCCTTTATCTATTTGGTCAAATTAACATATGAGCATAATTATAGTTTCTAAAAAAGAATTTATAAATTTTGTGAATTATATGAATTTTAAGAATTTTGAAAATTTTGTGAATTATGAGAATTCTGTGAATTATGTAAATAATAAGTAGCTGTAATAGAAACTCAAATATATTTATTATAAGTGCTAAAAAATATAAAAGGGCTGGCTGTTTGTCTTGAAATAAAAATTAACTTATTAGAGTTTTATAACTTTGAAATCATTTATAGTAAAAGTTTTTTCTTAAAATTATTGCCTCTTTGATTAAAATGTTTATAGTAAGAACATTTGATAACCTTTTTCTCTTATTCTGATACCTTGTCAGAAATTCATATTCAATTATAATACTTAGTAAAGTTTAAGTTAGAGCCTTTGAAATTCAAGTAGAAGTGCTCTCCCAAAGTTACTACCCTTTATCTTCTAAGTTTTATACCCAGTGAATTGTTAGTTATGCTTACTATATTCTAATATTAGTATAGAATCTGTTATCATTCTTAAAAGATAGAGAAAGAAGCAAAGAAACTTTACTGCATTATTTCACTTTTATATATCTGAAATTACCCATGACCTATTGTTCTTACTTTTAAATTGAACAATAAGACCAAATTTTAAAAATACCCATAATATAATGATCTTGTGACATCACCTATAAAATTGAAAATCAAATCCTGATATTAATTACCCATGACATCAGCTTGAAGATCTTAGATTAAATCTGTAATTAACAATCACTGCCGGAAATTATAATTTCATCACATGTGACTCTGAGTGAAACAATATATTCAAATTAAAAATTAAGAAGTATTAGTATTAATATTTTCTGATACAACAAAAAGATAAGTTATAAGTCTAAGTAAGAAGACTTATCCAAAGCCAGAAACAACATAACAAGGCCCAAAGAACCTTAAAACCTTAGACCAAGTCTTTCTATGCTTCCTTTTGTAGTCTTCCACCTTAAGGTTTTAGGGGCTTTCAATCAAAAAGTAGATTAATTAGTAATTTAGATTGATGATTTAGTTAGTTTTTAGTTTAGCATCATTAGTTCTGACCTTCTCAACATATGTACATATGTATGCATATAATATAACAAGCATTATTACTATAATTTACAAGTGACCATTCAGAAAAAAATTAATGACTATTTACTAACATAGCATCTACATGATTAATCTCTCTTATCAGCATAGCAAAAGTTAAATTCTTGTCTTAATTTTGCTTCAATAAAGTGATTTGTTCATTAAAATGAAACATAAATTGCTTTGCTAATAAGAAAGATGAATTATATGAATGCTAAGTCAGTAGGCCATTTTAGAATAAATAATATTTCTTATAATTATTTTTTCACACAGTCATATATATGCATGTACCAATTACATCATAATATGTAATGAATGGCATAGTTATATAACCTGTAAAAGTATTAACACTTTCTACAAAAAAGTGGCCATGCCCAAAAAGTTGAATTAAACCAACCCTCTCATATTTCACATAATTATACTAATATTATAACAAATATATTATGACATTAAGATATGTTGCAACAATTACAGATTTAAATAGATTATCATCTTATTTTAATATTATAATTCTTTCCAAAAATGAACAAATGAAGATTATTATTCTTACTTAAATAGGATTTTTTTAAAGAATCAGTATAAGTGACATCAAAAATGTATATTATCATCATTTTGAAATATATTATAAACAGATAAAAAAAGAGATAACCATAATATCTTCTAAAATAGGAAAAAATATAGGCCATAAAAAGTTGAACACAACTATCCCTCTACATTTCATATAATCATACTAGTACCCTTACATTAATTTTAATTAAATAATCAAAAATATATAAATGCACCATCCCCAAAAATAGAAATTTTTAAAAACAAGCCCGCATTATAGTAAAATTGACCCAGAAACAATTTTCACTTAATAGGCAGCTGCTATTTCATTAGTAAATTTATAAGTAATCCCGGTATTACTATCAAATTGTAATAGTCCATACAAATTGGGTTCTAGATTTCATAGGATATGTTGGTTGGAAATTACAAATTTTCTAAGTTGGTAGTCTGTATGATGTATTAACCACTAGATTTAGTTGTTTGTTAATAATTATGTACAGACCTTAATTCCAACCTTGATTATGATAGGTTAATAGTTGGATAGAAAATTGTTGTTGTAGGACAATGTCATTAAGGGGGATTATATGATGTCTCTTTAATGATATTCACTCATGTATATAAATGCTAGTTCCTTCACGATACTAAAAGAGAAAAGATGTATGCCCTCTGAACTCCTCTCCTAATAAAGAGAATTCTCATGACTTGTCACTTCTAATAAATTACCTGTCTAAATGTCCATTACTCATAAATATTTCAATCATTGTAGAAATCTTAAATTTCATCACGATTCTGAGTGATGACTATAAAGTACGTTCAACCCTTTACTTTAGTTCGCCATCCTGAACTATCTTGGCACTATATCATCTGATGCTCTCCCAACTTGATAGTGACACTGGTGTGACTGTTGCAACATACCTGCACCTCAAAATTGCATCATTTCTTATTTTCGCCCTGCTTTATTATTATTTTCCTTTCTTAAAATTATCAGATGACCTTGCTTCCAATTGTTCTTCCATTGTCCTACCTTATTTCTATTTGTATTATTTGCCCCTTCTTTATTTGTTTCTTTATACTTATTTTCTGATATTCCCATATATAGTTACTTCCTGCTATCTTATATCTGATCTCCAAACTAGATCGGTCTGTTGTACATGTAGGCCAATTGGTCCGACATATAAACACTAATCACAATCGACCTTCGAATTATTGTTGGTAATCTGGGCCTCGATCTCTGAGATTAATAGTTTAAGTGTAACTCTTAATTCAGACCTTGGCATGTTAGAAAGTTTCATTGGCGTTAGTAGTAAATAAAGATTAGTAATCTGAAACAATGTAATAGATAAGAGTAATCAGTATTGTATTGTTGAAAATTATAATTAGTGAACATATATATAAACCCAATATATTTGCCCTTTTGTAAAGGCAGGGTTTTAGTCTTGATTAGACTTTTCTCTCATGAATACATAATATACTTGACATGTTTGATTGTCTTGTTGAACTTTATGATATTAAGCTTCATGCAGTTAGTTTTAGTTTCATCAGAGTTTAGTTATAGTTTTATTTATTTTGTGTTATTTTCTCTTTATTTGATTTTATACATTTATATTCTGTCCCGACCCATTACATGTTTGTTAACCATCCTGACCTATCTTGGCACTGACCTATCTGATGCTCTCCCAATTTTGAATGGTCAAACCGGTGTTACTATCAGTTTGGGAGAGCGTCAGGTGATGTAGTGACAGTTTGGTTCAGGATAGTAAACCAAATGTGGATTTATGAGGTCAAGAGGTGTTTATTTAAAGTGTGGGAAAACCAATGTAGGGGTATCGGGTTAGCGAGTATCATTACTGATACAAGACAGATAGTTTTCTATATATGAGAAAGACAAAACAAATAATAAAACGCATTAAGATAATTTAATGCTAACAAGAAGCACGGGGTTTAAATACAATGTATAATTTATACTAGGCTTCAATCAGCCTCAAGTTATAAAAGACCAGAAAAATGTTTATTGGGATTGCATCACTAGGTTAAATGTTCTTAAAGTGTCCTAAATATTCGTAGTCTTAATATTTATATAGTCACCTGATTTTAGATTACGTATATACTGTAATAATAATAATAATAATAATAATAATAAAGAGTTGAGCACGAAAAATAAAGTTTAAAAAAAATTTCCGGTATTACGATCGGGGAGCTCTTGAACCAATATAGTTTAGATTGTGAATAGATAGAGATTAAGATCAATGGTTTAAATCAATAAATTAACGCTCATTATTACAAGTTATAAAGGTTTTCTTTATTAACATAAATCAATGCATCGGATTATCACATCAATACTAAATGCTATCAACAACTATTATTCCCTTCATAAACTGAAACTACACTCTTATATATCTTTAATTTGTACGGGATTTTAATCCCTCAACTATACCACAAACCATACCAAAATAAGAAATACATAAAATAATGATAATGATAAAAAAAATAATATGACAAAAACTGAGCGTAACAACGGAGAATTGTAAGGTCAGAATGTCATGTGACTGCGCCTTCGATTGGTGGTTACGCTAAGACTTACATAAAGAATGGTACTACGGAGATAATGAAAAAATGATGTGCGCTTAAGGAAGTGCACCTATAAAGAATGCACTTACTAAGAGTTGATTGTACTGTATATAGTATATAATAAATAAAAAATACAGTAAAAAATTTACACTGTACATAAATAAAAAAAATAAAAATTTTTACTGTACATATATAAATAAAAAAAACCAGTGTTCACAATTTTATTCCTTATACTATTCAATCATGAAAATCACCAAAATCACATGAATGCTCGCGTAGTCATGTTTTCATCCAAAAACGTTCATAATGATCTATACGTACGTATAATACATACAAAATTCGTTAATCTACCGGGTAATGTGTATTTTTTCAAGAAATTGGGGGAAAATTTGATTGCTATCTACTCCTTGGTTCCTATTAATGCTATTTAGTTTATTATTAGCATTCTTGTGTCCATTTTTTGCTGAATTGTTGTACCATTGTTTTGCAGAATCTAAATTCTTTGCCGTCCCTATTCCTTTTCTAAAACATTCTGCAGTATTGTATTGAGCTACTATAATGCCATATTCAGCGGCCTCTAAATAATATTGAAATGCTTTTTCTTCGTCTTTTTTGGTTCCTCTTCCAAACTGGTAACAGTTTCCCAAGTTATTACGTGCAGAAATACAGCCCTTTTTGTATGATTCTTCAAAACATTTAATCGCCTTTTTTTTAGTTTTATATCCTATTCCTTTTAAATAACAAAGTCCTAAAGAATTAGCTGCTCTTGCACATTCACCCCTTATATCTTTATACAATAGTTTAGCGCTTGCTAAATTTTTTTCGGTCCCATAAGCATTTCTAAGACATTCACCGAGATAAAATTTTGCCATAAAATTTCCATTGGTGTTATTTCTTGCTTTTTCAAACGTATCACGTGCAGTTATTTGATTTTTTTCAGTTCCGATTCCTTCTAAATAAAAGAATCCAAGAAGGCATAGCCACTCCGAATTATTATTATTTTCTTTATTATATAGACAATTAAACGTATTTTGCGGGTCTTGATTTTCTAAATTAATAATATCTCTTATTCTTTTTGAAATTTGCGAAAAATCTAGTCCTTTGTTTGTTGAATCAGCAAAATCATCAAATAACTTATCTAAAAAATCAGATAAATTATCTAAATTATTTTTGAGTATAAAATTAGCAGTTTTTTCGGATAGTGTGAGAAGATTTTCTGAAATTTCATCTAAATTTGGACGCAGACTTGGTTCAAAAGACCAACATTTCGTGTAAATATCTGCATAGCCTTTTGGTGTACCGGAAATAGTTCCTTCTCTTTCTCTATTTAAAAGTTTTATATATATAGCTCCTGGTTGATACTTATTAAATGGAGGAACACCGCTTGTGAGTTCCCAGAATAATACACCCAGGCTATAAATATCAGATCTCTTGTCACGGTCCTTAGGTTGAAAAAGGCGTTGCGGGTCAATATATGCCGGCATTCCTTTAATCCCTGAAGTTGCAGTAGACGCATCCATTTTTTTTGATATTCCCAAGTCAGAAATTAAGGCTCTATCATCATTTATTAAAATATTCTTGGAGTGCTAAAAATTTTATAAAAAGAATTTGAAAATTATAACCGATTCAATTTTTCTGTATAAGTTTTACTTATTTTAAACTTACCAGATCTCGATGAATGATGTTATTATTATGTAGATGTTTTAATCCTTCAGTGATGTCAATTGCAATTCGCATAAGATCAGTCCATATAATTCTATACTGATTGTTTTCTTGCTTGTTACGCAGATAATCTCGTAGGTTTCCACCGTTGGCAAGTTGTAATACCAACGTGAAATTGTCACTTGATACATCTAAATTATATATAAAAATAAATTAAAAATCTTCAAGATCCACATACAATTATGTTTTTAAATCAATCATACTTCGTGAAATTCCGTAAAATTTTATGACATTGGGATGATCGTCGACTTTATGAAACATTTTAAGCTGTTCCATAAAATAATGAGATTTTCGTGTTGTTTATAAAATAAATATATAATAATAATAAAACATAGTTGTGTACACCTAAATAAAAAAAAAAAAACATTACTTCTTTCATGAAGTCTTTAAACTCATTCTCATCAAGTTCCTCAGATTGCTTAAAACTTTTTAGCGCATAATTTTCTCCTTCGAAAGTGGTCGAATATACATTTGCAAATCCTCCTTTACCAATACATTTGAGGTTCTTTTCATGTTTCGGAAAATCAAAAATTTTTATATCACTATTATCTTTCAAATATGTATCCAGTTGTTCCGAAAATTTAGACGAAGCCATAAGTTCTAACTAGTTTTAAATACAATATTAACGCTTTTTAAGTATTTAATAACGCAATGTAGTTAGGTCTTTTTAATAAGCATAAAATTCTAATAAAATTCCGTGCCGTGCACGTACGTACATATAAATAAAATATATAAGTACCGTAAATGACCATATAAAAGTAAAAAATTCCTCTGAATAGTTAGATCCACCATGTACGTACGTACGTACAAGACTCGGTAAGACCTTCCCAATTGAAATGTATTTCTTTTTATAAACACAAATTTTTTACTTTCTATAATATAAACCCAGCCATGTATGTTAGAAATAATAACTTTACAGTTAGGAATCAGCGGAGTTTCATTTCCGGTTTTTCATATACGGATCTGTGCCGTATGCATTATGCAAGATAATGCGATGAAGTTGCTTAAAATTTCAAATGCACATAAAAGTTATATGCAGTTTTGATCTAATCATTTACTAACAATCACTTAATAGACACTTAATTTTACAAACGAATTTATTTTACAAGTATTTAATTCACAGATGAGTTATTTTATAAATCCTGCTAAACCAATCAAAACCGATCCTTCAAAATCAATAATCTGTCAAATCAAATAAAAAATTAATGGGTTATTACGTTTTCAAATAGCCTTTCGATATAATAATACAGTAATACAAAATCCGTTCGCCTTGCATATCGGTTTTGAGAGGTTCAACAGTACTGTTGCCCTCTCAAAACTGATCCTGTCAAAAGCTCAACAAAAATTAATCTACCAAGTCTATTCCACTATAAATCGAATAGTTTATTATGTTTTCAAATCCGATAACCTCTCGACAATGATACAAAAATCTGTATATAAGTTTTGAGAAGTTCACTGTATATAGAATGTTAATGCATCATGCAACATAATGTGTGATGCAAGGCTAAAAAAAATTGCATTTGACATCTCTAATTATCACGGGTTTTCGTCGACAATTTATTTGGGCTTGGTATCGGCTGTTTGGTTATGCATAATCGTTGTGTATCGATGTTCACAACTCATGTGCTGAATTGTGAGCAATGTTGGTGTACAAACATTGTAAATAACGCGAGTAGAACACAGTAGCTCAAAAGGAAAGGAAACAGCTCTTTCCAAAATTATGAAATATGAATTTTTAATAAACTGACCTCTAAAAATGTTCAGAAGTTGCGACTGGGGTTGAATTGCGCATGTATGCGCTTTACTCTCTTAAACCAGCCATAACAGTATTATCTATTAATAATCCTATCGTTATCTATATCGCTATCTATATCGCTATCTATATCGTTATCGAACGCTTTTATAGATTAGGCGCTACCGGAACTCTTTATACTGAAAAACCCCATAAAATGGTTCCTGGAATATTTGAGTATGCAACGTATGGAAATGAATATCCCAGTATAGCACTATATGAAAGAGCGTTCTAATCTAAATTTGATTGTGTTCAAACGTATACTTTATTCATGGTAAAAAATTTTAATATGCATTATAACACGCATTAGCATATGATAATTTAGGCATATTTTTGTTTATATTAAATAATCAAAGTTATCTATAGTTTTACTTGTCTATACGCTGCTCTTTTTACGTATGTATTAGGATGGGAAAAAAACGCAATTTATAATAATATGCGCATGGATGCGCATTAACGCGCATAACATATAAATGCATATCGATATGATGCAATTATAATAAAAATTTTATCAAATAACCAGACCAATTTGATTCATTACATTCCTCTCTCTCAAAAGAGAGAAAGAAAGGTGTATATGTATATGTTTTATATACCAAAATTGTATCAAATGGGATAGTTAAATTCATACATTATACAAACTACTATTTTGATTCAAATAATGATAATTTATTGTCTAGTAATCCTGAAATAAATTCAACTACGTATTTTTATCTTCGTAAACATTGGATATTTTTATTCCGACTTGCTCATCTTTTATACCTTTCATTTCCTTTTCTAAATATTCTGGGATCTTTTCATTTCTATTTTTAAATCCCGCATGGCACCATTAACTCCGGCTTAAATATAAATATGTCCTAATTTTGCATGAATTCGCAATCAGGTCCATCTTTAGGCATGTACTCACTGACATTAAGCCCTTCATGATGCGCTTGTACTACGTTACTATAAAAAGATATTAAACTAATCATAAAATATACGCACCGTGCTTATTATGCATATCAATGACATAACGCGTTTGTTCATTTCTAATATTATCGTTATTAATGATGAAAAAAAAAATCTTATTGTTATAAATAGATAATGTCTTTATGACCTGAGCCTAGTTATGATATATAATCACAATCATCACCTATTTTTATATATTTTTTACAAAAAATTTTTAACATGAGGCTTCAAAATCTGCTTTGTCGGTTTTTCACATTATACCTGGGGACTATTCTCTTAGTTACTTGTCAATTTGTTCCCGTCTCTCGTCATCTACAAACAAGTGCCATAATTAACAATTCCAGATGGTATTTCTTTGGTGGAAGAATTAGGAATCACGGAGTCGACAGTGATGACATTAGTGACATTAATGACATTAATGAAGTATTTTACCTTAAATTATCAAAATCATTCAGCACTGATTCGCTTGAATGGCATAAAGATGAAACAGGAAGCCCTCTAGCAAATGTTTTTAGCACATCATACGTTTATCCTAATAATTCATCTATTCTCATAATTGGCGGGGTTATGGCGAACCAAACGACACACGATGTTCTTCCAAATAGTTCAGCAATATACAAATACAATTTAAATGATTCAAGTTGGGAGGTACCAAAAATTACGGGAATAGATGATTTTGCTCATTGTGGTGGATTACAATCCATGGCTGATAATACTGGAAGAATTTTTTTATACGGCGGGATGCTAGATATTCCTGGCCCAATTTGTAATAAAATGAGTATTTTATATACAAATAATATGTCATGGATAACAAACAATATTACTACTTCACGATTTGGTTATGCTGCTACCATAGATAAAAGTGGAAATATCACATATATTGGTGGTCGTTCGATGTCTAATTTTGACGATGATAGTTATGTTAGCATGAATGAGGTATGTTTATTTATTCACATATCCCTTAAATATCTATTTATGAATGTTAAAATTAAACTAATTAATCCAAATATAGATTCTGATATTCGATACTAAATCCCTAAGCTGGCATAACATTGTAAGCAATAGTAAAAAATTATAAAAAATAATCATTTATACATACTAATAAATATGCTTAATGATGTAGACAGCCTCAGGTGACAATATTGGAGAGCGCGCATTTCATTCGGCTGTTTTAAGTACAGATATTTCAACTTTAAATACTGTGATTAAATGAATTTAGCTGGTAACTTAACTATTTTGCATTTGGCTTATTAGCTCAAGATTCAAAAATTATCATATACGGAGGTGCGACAACAGCATTTGCTAATATAACGAAACCAGAACTTGCAATATTGGATACAAAAACATTTACATGGAAAAGTTTATATGTGGATAATTCTAGTGCTACACCAGTACCATCACTCACAAGTCATTCCTGTATATTGTACGACGATTTTATGATTATTGCATTCGGTAATTATAATAAATTTAACATTTAAATAGTTTTAGATGCTAAAATATTAATATTTATGAAATCAATCATCAATTATTATTCCAGGTAGACTTACTGGAGAAAGCCTAGTACTTTTAAATAAACATGTTTACATTTTTGATACATTAAACTATAAATGGGTAAAAACACTTGAAAGAGACACTCCAGTACCTCCTTTGATTATTGTATTACCTATTTTAGCATTTTTATTGGTTTTATTAATGATTTGTTGGTGCTTAAAACGCCAACGAAAACAAAATGAAGGCCTTTCTTCTTGAATTGAACTGTTGTTGAGATATAAAAACCATTGAATAAATTAGAGTTTGAAAAGATATTTAATTCGTTGAAAAAGAAATAAAAAAAGCAATTTTATATTTTAAAAATAAATATTCCAATAGCTAAAATTATCATTTTTCAGTTAAAAAAAAATTCTTTGCTAGTAGCTATTGGCAATATTGTTTTGAGTATACATATAACTTTTCATTTATTAGAATGAGAACAATATATCAGATATATTTAACAACTTGAAAATAACAATAAAAATACTTTAGATAATTTTAAATTAAATTTGTTCAATATCGATAACCCAAAATTTTTAAACAATAATATATTTCACCAAATCTCAAATTATTTAATTTCCTATTACAAAATTTATTATATAATTATACACCAATAACAGTCAATGGTGTGTTTAACAGTTTGGTTTGAAAACTCACTCAAAACGGATCTGTATTATTTCGCAGACAACCACATCCTTAAAGCTTATTTTGCAGACAATTAATTTACAAACAATTAAGCCTATTTTACCGCCGATTAATTAATAGACAAGTTCATTTAACCGAAAGCACTTTTCACCGACAACGTAATTCAGGCCATTGTCATTAGGGAGAGGTTTAGAGCTAGAGTTAAGGTTAGTGAAATTTATAAAAAAAAACTTGCCAGTGAAATGAGCTGCCGGTGGAATAAACTGTCGGCGAAATGAATTAATCGTCGGTAAAAAAAGCTTATCTGTAAATTGTCTGTAAAATAAAGCTGTCGATGAAATAATGCGGATCCTCTTAAAAATGCGTAAATTCAATATCTGTACAACATGGCAAACACTAGGTATGATCAACTCTCTTTAAGTGCAAGTCAATGAGCCAGCAAAATATTTTGCAGTTAGAGTGAACTTGAAATTAAAGAAAATTAGACTAATATATAATTAATTCTCTTTAAATTCAATTTAACAAGTTAAAAAAATATCTTGCATTTAAAAAAGAAAACTTTAATTAAATAAATTAATTTAATTGGTTAATAAATATCTTGTAGTCAGAGAGAATAATTATATATATATTGACTAAAAAAAACTTGCACTATTGAAATTCTTTTTCTTCGTTATTTTGGTTCCTTTTCCAAACTGGCAGTAATTTCCCAAGTTATTACATGCAGAAATGCAGCTTCTTCGTATAATCTTTTTTCTAGTCTTATATCCTTGGAATAACTAGATCATATTTGAAAGAGATAAGTGATATAAAAAATTTGATTTTCAGAAACATGCAAAAACCTCAAATGTATTAGAAAAGGAGAGTTTGCGACTGTGTACTTATTCACTTTCGAATAAGAAAATTACGCAATAAAAAGTGTTAAGTAACATGTGGAACTTAATGAGAAAAAGTTTAAAGATTTAATGACAGAAGTTTTTTTTTCTTTCGATACACTACATATTAATATAAAAAATTTATAATTAATATTATATTTAATTAATTCAATTTAAAATTAAAAATTTGAAAATGGAGTATTTTAACGCTCACCGGAGGTGAGATTTACCAGGGTGCTATATCTAAGTAAACAGGATCGGATACTTTAAGTAAAAATGTTCAAGACCCTGAAAACCTCACGAGAACTAAGATCGTGTCCTAATATCTAATCTATGTTATATAAAAACCCTCTCTATCTTAAAACTGCACCTTAGTCCTAAAACTTCATAACTTTTTCAAAATTACAAAAAATCTGTTCACGTGATCATAATATCAGTAAAGATTTATTTTATATTATTGATATAATATAAATCTTTACTGATATTGTGATCACATAAGAAGATTTTTGCAAGATTTTTATGATTTTAGATTCATATAATTCTCTTATCGAGAGGGTTATTTTAGTAATTAAATCATCAAATCTGAGTTAGTAGATCAAAAATTATGAATTTTTAAAGATTTCTATAAATTTATACAGTATAATTAAAGAATTAATCTAACTCTAACCGGTGGTGATCATCACCAGGGTGCCTGTATCTCAAAAATGTACTAAGTAAACGGGATCGGGTCCTCTAAGTAAAAATGTTCAGGACCCCCAAAAACCTCACGAGAACTAAGATCGGGCCCTATCGGGCCCTTATAGTAGCTCTATATTATTTTATATAAAAAAAAAATAATTCTCTAATTTCTAACCCTAACCCTAAATATATCTAGGGGTGGTGACGATCACCACCGGTTAATTTGATTATAATTCATAATTAAAATAAGAATTTTATATAATAATTGTTAATTTATTTAATTTCATAACTTCTCTGCTACATTATAATCTTATTTAAAAATTTACAGGTTTTTTCCTATAGGTTACTTGCATAGCGGTGCAAAAAAAATACTTAATTTTGATTAAAATACTTAAAAAAATATCTTTTTTTTTGTTTATTTTTTTTAAAAAAAATGAACAACTTTAATTTTTTAATGTTTTTTAAAAATGTTAATTAAAAATTAATTAATTTTTTTTAAAAAATATGTTCTATAAAATTTTAAATATTATATATATTTATTTGATTATTAATTAATATAAAATTTTAAGTTATTATAATTTAAAGTGTATCAGAATACTGTATCATATATGACAGGATGGACAATATTTTATTTTTATTTTTATAGATCACATAAACTCCATAATTATTTTATATAGCAGTTTAGAATATTATATGATGTCACCGAATATTCGAACATCATAAAATTTTATGGAATTTCGTGATCTATCAGAAAATATGCACAGACTATAAGATTTATAATCCTCTATTCTATATAATTTAGATTATTGGGTGTTGTGGATCATAAGAAACCAGATAAAATAAAATTAGGATTTCTATTTGACCCACTAAACCCACTTATACTTGTTTATTATAAATTCTATTCTAACCCTAAAAAAATTCATCCAAAAAAATTTATATTTTCAGTTGCTTGTCTATTTGACGCTATTGCACATTTCATTTTAATCCGTCACAACAACTAAGATGCCTCAATACAGTGACTCAGTCTAACAGTTTAAGATAACTCAATATAATAACCCAAGGCCTAACAACATTGCATTGTTATAAAACTAGACTTTTTGTAAACATTTAATAATACAAATTAGACCTTTAATAACACGAAATCGTCTGATTAGAGGTTGGACCGATTGTATCTTCATTAACCAGTTTTATTAACTTTTGTTCCACTAGTGAACGGAGTCACAAGGCGGTACATTATTGCGAGTAACGATTCTCGAAAAGTCTGCTCACGTGACCTCCTGCGGCTTGTTCGGCGACCCTATCCATATTATTACGTTGTTAGACACTGATATATTTGTTGAATGAGCACTTGGAAGGACGTGGCTTTAGGTATAAGAACGGTGGTCACGACTGTTATGTGCGAGGAAGGTGCACATGACGAGCAATAATAATTGAAAATTAAATATGCGATACTCTAAGTGAAAATGCTCTACGTCCCCAAAAACCCTTTCTACAATGATCTGTGGAAATTTGTAAACAGTTGTAGGAATATTAGAATACGAAAGTACATATGGGTTATTATACAGTATGTATACATATGTATATCTGTGAAATGAGTGTTTAAATCTAATATCAGTTCACTATAGTAAGTGTTAACTTCCGTAAATATCAAGTTGGTTGTAATAATTTCATGTAATTCAAAGGAAACCTTACAACTGTTTCCATTATGTTTCGAACATTTGAAAAATTGTTGATGCCCGAAACAATGTTTCTGACGTTAGTAACTTATTGATTACGATTCGGTAACTTATTCATATGTCCCAAAAATAATGGAAATAGCTGTAAATTCGATGTGTCACCCTTTATCTGTTATTTAGAATTATAAACCAAAATTTTAATTTTGTGTCATTATAATCAATTGAAACTGGGTTTACCATAATGTTACCATTTTTTTTAAAAAAAAGAAAGCTTCGTGAAATATTCACTTGCATTCTGTGAATATTTTCAGAAAAATAATTAATAGCATACAACCTGTTATAACATATCGACGGGTTTGCGGAATGGATCTAAATCAAGGTCACTGGATTTAACAATTGCAGAATCCATAATAGCTGATAATTGGGGTCAGTTTTACAATCGCATTGTTAAAATATATGGGCCTTAATATAGGCCAATTCCGATATTATAAAACCGATTAATCGGGTAGAATTGATTATAATAAAAAGCGATTAATCAGATTCTAGCTCGGTTATATTTTATAACCAGCTTAACCCGGTTAAAATTCAATTACGATAACCGGTTCTAAACTCTACGTCTGATAAAATTGGTCTGTTGAACCTCCCAAAAACGATCCTCTCAAAACCGATAACCTGTCAAATCTGATAGAAAATTAGTCTACCAATCCGATTCCGTTATATAAATCTAATAGTTTCAAATCCGATAACCTCTCAATACTGATACAAAATCTGTCCACCATGCATATCGGTTTGGGGAGGTTCAACAGAATTTTAATTTCTACGTGCTGCTGTATTAGTAAAATACCCTGGTACCGAAAATGGCAATATAAAGATCATAGGCCCATCAGGCACTAGACTCGGGTGTGGATCTTTTATAAATCAATATTATAAATTGTAAATTAGATGTTTTAATTTTTATACTTTCTATAATATGAATTTAACCATGTACAATATTACTATACCGTGGTCTAGAGGTCTTAAAACTGGCATAATGCTAAATCTGGATATTGCATATGGCTGTACGATAACGGTTATACATATCTATTAGGAATTGGCGGAAACTTCAATTCCGATTTTTCACATACTGATCTGGGTACTATTCATTAATCATCCGTAAAATTTGATATAACGATAAGAGATTACTATAATAATCCTATCGTTATTAATATCGTTATCTTATGGAACAGGCGCTACGGAGCTCTTTATACTGAAACTCCAGAAAATAGATTTTTAATTAAATGATTTTTTTTATAATCCTCAAGTATGCATTACATGGAAATAGATGGCCTAGTATAGCATTTTAATATAGATCACAATATTGATCAATTTTTTTTGTAATCTTTAAGTCGCAGTGCATGGAAATAAAGTGTCTTAGTATAGCATTTCCATATAGATTAATCAATGATGTAATATTTATAATCCTCAAGCATGCAGTGCATGGAAATAGACGCCCTAGTATAACACTTCAATAAAGGTCACTCAATGATATATTTGTAATCCTCAAGTACGCAATGCATATATGTCCAAATATAGTATTTCCATATATGCCACTATCGATACGTATTAAACATTCGCATCTGATGTCTCAAATAGGCAATTGATCTATCACCTGCTGCGCTATCGATTTTGGGAGTTGATTGTACCGGCTTTCTTTGCTGGAATCCTGGTCACCCATGTGAATGTCAACCCGCCACTGTCTTACTGACTTTACTCCCTTTGACGTTACCGTCAGCTTGAAAGATCAGGTTCAACTATATTTGTATGTAAAATTGAATCAAACCCAAAATATTTTTAAGCAGAAATGTTTAAGTTATATTATGTAGTGGTTACGTTTTTGATTTAATTCGAACGGACATACATATGATGCCGAATAACTTTATTATAAGTTGGAGGATTGCACAAAATATTGGTTATAGTTGATGCGTATAATAATAATAATACTTATCCTTCCATTATCCTTTATTATAAAACTAACTACGGCGATCAATCACGTGGACACATTATTACAGGGTACAGATTAGAATGCATAGTACCGCTATATTAAAAAGACATATTTATAATCCTCAAGCATGCATGCATGGAATAGATATCCTAGTATAGCATTTCCATATGTCACTATATGAAAAAACGTTCTGATTAAAATTGAAATCTTTATTGGATTGCGTCTCTAAATGCGCACTTATTCATGACAAAAATTCTAAAAGAATTTTTATACGCACTAGCATTAGCATTTTTTTTTTGCTAATATTAAAACCACAAAAGTTGTTCATAGTATATGTTTTGTTTATACTGCGTGAAATGATAATCACGATGGTTATCATAATCAAAAAAAGCTAATGTTAGCAAAGTACTGTTTTAGAAAAAATAAAATGTAATTCTCATTGTGTGCTTATCACGCGTATCGATGCATGGTCAAAATCCGGACTTGTTCATCTGTAGTACCAACTTATGAAAAATTTTGCTTCTTACTATTGTTTAATCGCTCCTTGCAAAATAGTGCGACAAATATCCTATGAATTTTGTATTAAATCATTGGTAATATGCAAAACTCTTAAGGTTCATGAAAATCACTTGTCGCAATTTCTGTATATTACCATTGTTTTAGCAATGGTAATGTGCAGAATTCATAGGATTCAAAATATTATTTGTCGCATAATTTTACAAAGAACGATAAATAGATGATGTTTGATGACCTGAATACGTTTGAGCTTAGTTGCGATATATTATAATAATTAACACCTATTTTAAAATAAAGTTTATATTTTTTTTACAAAAGCTTTTTTTTAATATGAAACTTCAAAGTATATTTTGTCAGTTTTTCACTTTATATTTTGGGACCATTCTCTTAGTTATTTGTCAATTTGTTCCCGCTTCTCGATATCTACAATCAAGTGCCATAATTAACAATTCCAGATGGTATTTTTTTGGTGGAGAAATTGAAAATAATGGAGGCAACAATAATGACAGTAATGAAGTGTTCTACCTTAAATTATCAAAATCGTTCTACACTGATTCGCCTAGTTGGGTTAAAGAAGAAACAGGAAGCCCTCTAGCAAATGTTTTCAGTACTTCATACGTTTATCCTGATAATTCATCCGTTCTTATAATTGGTGGGGTTATGGTGGACCCAATGACACAAGGTGCTGCTCCAAATAGTTCAGCAATATATAAATACAATTTAAACGATTCAAGTTGGGAGGTACCAAAAATTACAGGAATAGATAATTTTGCAGTATGTGGTGGATTACAATCCATCACTGATAATACTGGAAGAGTTTTTTTGTATGGTGGAATGCAAAATTATTCTGGTCTAATTTGTAATAAAATGAGTATTTTATTTATAAATAAAATGTCATGGTTAACAATCAATCTTACTACTTCACGAGTTGGTTATACTGCTACCTTAGATAAAAGTGGAAACATCACATACATTGGTGGTCGTTCGATGCCTAACTTTAATAGTAACAGTTATGTTAGCATGAAGGAGGTTTGTTTCTTGTATTAACATTCCTTTAAATATCTACTCATAAAAGTTTAAATCAAGCAAAAATTAATCTAAATAGATTCTAATATTCGATACCAGCACCCTAAGCTGGTATAATATTGTAAGCAATAATGAAAAATTATAAAGAGCACATCATTAATGTATACTGATAAATATGCTTAATGATATAGATAGCTTCTGGTGACAATATTGGAAAGCGTGCATTTCATTCTGCCGTTTTAAGTATAGATATTTTATCTTTAATACTTGATTGTATAAATTTAGTTGGATAACTTAACAACTTTTCATTCGGTTTATTAGCTCGAGATTCAAAAATTATCATATACGGAGGTGCGACAACAACATCTGCCAATATATCGAAACCAGAACTTGCAGCATTAGACATAAAAACATTTATATGGAAAAGATTATACGTGGATAATTCTACCGCCACACCATCACCATCACTTACAGGTCATTCTTGTATACTGTATGACGATTTCATGATTATTGCATTCGGTAATTACAATCAATTTAGCATTTAAATATTGGTTTAAAATGCAAAAGATTAACTTTTATGAAACCAATCATATCAGGAAAATTTACTATAGATGATCTAGAAATTTTAAATCATCATGTTTACATTTATGATACATTAAATTATAAATGGGTAACAACATTTGACAGAAACACTTCATTATCACCTTTGATTATTGTATTACCTATTGTATCTATAATTTTATTAATTACATTTATGATTTGCTGGTATGTAAAACGCCAACGAAAACTAAATGAAGGCCTTTCTTCTTGAATTGCCTTATTATTATCGCCAAATCCATTTTAATTAATTTATAAATAGCACTGGATAATGTATACATAGGTCATGTCAGCTTCATTACATAGCATAGCGTCTTTTAATGTTAAAGATAACCTAATCAAATAACAAATTAATTATTAAGATTTATTAAGATTTATTCAGCTATCATTCTTAACCAATTTAATTTATTGATTTAAATATTATAATTATTAATGTCTTATATAGCCCTTTTTTGCAATTTTTGAAAAATGAGTTTTCATTAGATTTATATAAATTTTGACATGATCGATATTTTTCAATTATAAATGAAAGTCGATTTGCATAATAAAAAATCAAGATAATTTAAAAGAAAAATTTCACGGACATGTAAGGCCAACGCATCACGAGATTGCCCGATAGTCACCTGTTAAATTTAACCAATCAAAATCGGAAATTAAATTAATCCCGGATCAGTCCGAAAATCAAAACAAATGATTAAACTCAATTATCTCAAAATAAATTATATGTAAAAAAGGGCTGTTTTAATAGACCACACCCCATATTTCTAGTTGCTCGTAGGTGTATCTGCCAAATAGAAAAATTTTGATTGATTATAATTTTTATTTTTAGTATTATTATTTTTTTTTTTACTTAAATGAGACCTTTATTAGTTTTTAAAGTTCTAAATAATATCATAAAAATAATATACATTATTACCATGTTCATGCAGCCTCGTCACTTGTGGTTCATACGTTGAAATTATGCCTAGAACTAGAGCTTGGATCCGGTGGATAACGGTTACCCATTTGGTTTATTTTTCAGATAGCTGCGAATTTTAGATATCCGCTTGTAAATTATCCGGACAAATCCATCGAATTAATCAAAAATTTAGTCGATTCTAGATATAACGAATTTTTTATAACATCTAAATAGAAATGTTTTGTCAAACTTACCGAATTTTTACTATAAGAATTATATAAAAAAAGCTAGCCGCAATCAGAATATGTATTTTATTAATATCATCAATGCGTATACATAGTAATATAATTCTGAAAAATAACGCTAATAAATAGTAAAAATATTACTATTCGAGCAACTCAGAGAAATTTCACTTGAGGTTACGCTAGATAAATAATCTTCACCATCAATTATTACGACTATGAATAAGTTATGTAAAAAAAAAGTTTTGCGCTCAAGATAAAATACGTTTTTATAAGAATTCTCTATTCAATGTTACGTATAAGATATGTCATTTATTCATTCAACTATAAATTCTGAGTTTAGACTTAGGTAGCGTACACAAAAACTAGTCCCATCCTTGTAATTTTGACCGATACAGTCCATATAAAATTAGTTCTGCAAATTTTGTGATAAAATTTATAAATTGTACGTCGATTATATAAACCTGTGCAGAAATCTTGAACATTCTGCAATCAAATTATTGTTAATCGTTGATTTATTTTGGATAATATCAAGACTTTTTTGAAGACATATCTTTTGTGACCACAAGACATTGTTCAAATTCATTTAATTGTCGCGACTGATTCTGAAGTTTGAGGCTTCGATTTGAAAATGAGTCCTGTAAAAATCCACATATTCTTTAATTATTAGTTCCCGCCCAATCCTAAAAAAAGTGAAAAATCACTTCAAAAAATTTTAATTTTTTCATATAAAACTAGAGATGATGATTAAATTAATTTTACCAATTCATCTCCAATTTCTCCTATAGTGGCGAAATAATTTCACCACTCTGATTTTGTTTTATCTAATAATTCTACATAATTTTAAATTATAATAAAGAAATATTTTATCGTTTCTGATTAGATTAAATAGTTGTCTCTTTATCTTCTCAAAGTTGACAAATAGGATTTGCAGATAAATATATCAAATTGAAAGTATTTTTGTATCTTAATTTAAACTTTATAAAAAAATAGTTTAATTTGATATGACTTTATTGATTTTCCATATAATCTGACAACCTAAATGATATCTGTAAGATTCGCTTGAAGTTTAAATTGGTAATTTAGAATTCTAAATGACATAATATTAGCTTATATGGATTATTATAGATTACAATAATGTATAATGATTTATTAAATTCAATGAAATGAAAGTTATATATTGTTTAAAGATAAATAATTCTTAAATTATGATAAATAATAAACAAAAGTTTACATGGCAATTGAAATTGACCTAATAAATTAAAATTTTAGATCTTATTCTCTAAAAATTAATTGATAACGAAGCTTTATCTTGTAAAATTTGTAATTATTTTCCTTTTAGACTTTTTTTTTGTTTAAAAAAAAAAACCAACAAATAAAATATATTATTAATAAATAACATTTGTATTCACTGTTGAAAAATTCATGCTCGCGACCTAAGTTTCAAAGGCAACTTATCAATCCTCAAAATTCATTCTCTTCAATCACTAATACAATGATCAAATAGAGATAAATATATTAGTAAGTCATCACTAAAACAAAATATGAAAAATTAAAAGAAATTTCACTTACTGTCCATACGTTTTGCTATTAAGCCTTCTATTATAATGTAGAATTTTTATAAAAACGTAAAATGTTATTCAAATCAAAAAAAAACTAGTGTAAATGGTAATATATATAACAACTTACCAGCTAGAATTTTGAAAACAAAATAAAGGTTTTTAAATTATAAAGCTATTAAGATAAGAAAATAAATCTAATAAAGAATAAACATTGAATTATATAATGAACTTACTAGCTAGTAAATATAATTACGTATATTTAAAAAATTTGTTTAATAAATTAGCATAAATATTGATTCATAAATATGACAACTTTAAATAAAGAACAAAGAATGTACTTACAAGCTACCATTTAGATTAATTCAATTGGAAATGTAATGTTAGTTAAAATGTAATCTTTACCATATTAAAAAATATAGGTAACTTAAGATCAAAATTTCTAAAATTCCTTATTTGGAAGTGTATCTAAGGTGAAGCAATGATTACCAGTAGGGCAAGTTTAGAAAGAAATTGTTTGCAGCCCAAAATACGTTTAGACATTTTATCGCAATTTAATTTGCTAATCAAACTGGATCTTTCAAATAAGGAGAGCCTTTAAAGCCAGGTGCCGTCACGAAATTTAATTAACGTTAAGGTTAAGGCCCGTGTGAGCCAAGTTTAGAGGTCCTTATAAATAAATCGCCCTATGTCATTTTTTCTTAATGAACCAAGATATTTAGACATTCGTTTTCTTGTATTTTTCGCATTTATACCTTTTTATTTGCCGGGCTTCGTTCAGATAATCCATATAAACAAAAACTCGCAACAGAAAATCTCATTATGGACCTGGCTTTAACGGTTCCTCAAATAAGGAAATTTAAAAATGGGCCGGTTAAATTGGTCCAAATCGTGCAAATAATTATTTGAACCTAAAGGTTGTCTCATATAAAATTGATCCTTAAGTTAAACGGTAATTGTTTTGAATATACATACAGGTTGCTGGAGATTTAATTCAATATAAGATCAATATGATTTTTTTTATATGAAATAAGCTTTAAAAAAAATAAATTTATATAATAAATTTACCTGAAGCTAATATAGCTTATAATTAATTTTTTTATAAGTCTTACGAATAAAGTATATCAGACAATTTTGTAAGCAATAAAACTTTACTTACGATCACGCTTTGCAGGAAGCGGTCTAGCCATTGTAGTTGAAATGAAAATCAAAGCGATAACCAACAAAAAATAATATTTTGGTAACATTGTATTTTTTAAATTTGCAGAAATATTAAATAGTTTGCAACAATTGTAAGAGCAATACTGAGATCTTTTATACTCGTTGAAAAGTGTATTTTTATGCATCCGCGTTTAAGAATAACAGGCAGGCTAACGCTTATTCGTATGTACGTACGTACGTGTTTGTGCATTTAATTAAGCCAAATATGACAGAAAAAAGAAACAATAGAGTTTTCACAATAATTTATCAGATTTAGGTTAATTCTAACTAAAAACAAAAGGAAAAAATCTCATTATCAAAATAAATTTAGATTTCACCATACTTAGGCATCGCACGATTGTTGATCAGAAAATCTCTATAAAGTAAGATCAAAAGCAACGACAAAATTCCTATATGGTATGATGGCGTATGTGCATATTATATTACCTAAATAGTAACAAAAAAAAATAATAATAAAAAATTCGACTTTTACAGCTTTTCATTTTCATGTTCTTGAGTGTACACAATATCTCAATGTATATCATTTTATTTAGCATACCTAAAATAGGTCCAAATTTCAGCATCAGCCGCGACATATAATATCTATCATCGATCATTGGGTGACAAAGTAGAAATAATATCAATAGGGACAGTGGAATTTGAGAAGCAAAAACAATAACGAATAATTCGTGTAAAGGATGAAATTATCAAACCGTTTCTGACTATAAAAAAAAAAAAGAATTTGCTCTACATTTGAGAATCATTTTCCTAGTTACTTGTCAATTTATTCTCGATCATTGGAAACAGCAAAACTAATATGATGAAACGTTCTAACTTAAGTTATCAAACCCGTTTAACATTGATTCATTAATAACAGCAATATATAGATAACTTAAGGCGATCAAAATTAAGAAGCACCAAGAATAATGGAAATAGATAGTTTCGCAGAATGTCGTATAATGAAGATTTTTTTTTTTTGAAATGTAAAACGTTTTTAGTATTCATTTAAAAACTATGTCTGGTTGACAATTAATACAGTTAATATTACTCCTTCGCTATAACTTATAACAATAAACAATAAAGTTATGTTAGTGTGTTTATTTAAATTCATAAACCTCTTAAGCATCTATTCGTAAACGTTTAAATTAAATCAAATACAAATTATGAATTGGCAAGCAATAATAAATAAAATTACAATACAGTCAACTCTGGATACAATGAATATCTTTATAACGAACGAACTCTGGATATAATATTTAAAATTTCATAATGGTTCGGTATAAAAAAAAAAAAAGAGCTATGGTTTCTTAAGAAAACATAGTAATTTTCTATAATGAACTTTTTTCTTTCAGAACCATCATTTCGTTATATCAAGAGTTGACTGTATATACAGCACTAATAATAAACATATTAATAATCTAGACATCTTCTTGCGCTAAAAATGGAGGGCGGGCATTTCCTAAATATAGACATTTGATATTTGAATAACGTAATTATAAAATTAGTTGAGTAATTTAGCAATTTTCATTTTGATATATTAACTTGAGATTCAAAAGTTATCATATACAAATATTGACCGAAACTCATTTGCAACGTCTTCACATACTTAGTACAATTCAAGTTTCACAACGAAAAAAAAAATGCGAAAATTATTAAAACAATATCATAAATAAAATATTCTTGGCTCGGAGATCGAAGGTACAGTACTGTAATGGTTATCTGAAGGGTAGGGTGATAATAGAAGTTAAGGTCTGGCTAACAGAGGGCATAAAAGAACCACTCATTTGGGACTTAAGTAGAGAGGTATAAAGTTCAAGATCTTCAAAAGGATTTGTTTTAAGGATATTGCTAATTCTGGCTCTTCAGATAAGTAATCTTGATTTCTCTTCCATACAGGAGTAATTATAGACACTGTCTTCTAATTCCTCTTCGTCGTACTTCTCATCAATTACTTGCTTCAACTTCTATTTCTTCACCATCATTTTATTTAAGTTTCGAACTTTTGCTGGATGGTCCTATCTAGGGTTTGGGAGTAAATTTTTTAGATTATGATTTTCTTACCATTCCAGGTAGGAGACATTTCAGAAGTTATTTGCCTGAACTTTGGATAACAAAATTTTCCCAACTATAGCATTATGGGAGTTAGTAACATTGAAAAGAAAATTAGAGATTTTAACCAGAGCTTATTTATTTTCTATGGACATTTACCATGTTGATGGTAAAAGTTCATTTTAATTTGATACCAAAGGTTTCATAATAGATAGAGGAGATAACGCTGCCAGATAAACCACTGTCTACTCTTAGGGGTATAGGTTTCCCAAGGATAATAGCATCGCAATAAAGGGCCGTTGATTTATTACTAGAGGTTATGCTAATGCTAGCTTTTATATTTCTTTTAATAAGATTTTTCATTTTATGAAGACTTTTAATTATTCTATATACATAAAAAAGACAACACAAAGAAGTTAGCCAATTGTAATATTGGCTGGCTTATCTCTAAAGTTAGTCATAGAATGAATGAGTACCAATAAAGAAATCTGGGGTATCTCATCCTTTGGAACCTTTCTTCTTATTATATGAGTAAATCTAGGTTTGGCAAGAAAACTTTAAAGAGGTTATCTGCAATCTTTTTTAATTTGATTATCTATCTCTCTTTTCTAATAATTTTCTAATAGTTTTTCTAATAGCTTTTCTTTTCTAACTTTAGATCTTCAATTTCTTTTTATGATGTTTATGGTGATAAGTGAAATGAGTAAGATACTTATCTTCATATAACCTAGTGGTGAATAATAAAATGTCTTCAATGAGAATACAGACAAATGTATGTTGGTTATTCAGATTATTGACTGGTCTAGTTATTGAAATTACTTTGGTTTTTAAAAGGATTAAATTAGCAGGTATGGCTGGAAGAGTTTGAAGAGCTTGTTGTTGATTTTTAGGAACATTATTCAAAATATTATTATAATAATTATTATTATTAACAGCTTTAGTGCATGTAATTAGTTTGAGGAGCTGGTGGTTATTTGCATTGCTAAATTAGCATGCCGATTTAAGCTGCCAAATTATCAATAGAATTAGGCTGTTAAAGTGGCTGGGTGGATTAGGTTGCTGGGGCGGGTTGAGCTGCTTAGGTGGGTTGATCAGGTTAGATTGTTGAACTAACGCCTCCGGCTTCGCTCCTGTTACCTAACGCTAATCTAACTCTCATACTAACCCTAACTGGCTGTGGACAGGGTTAACAGGATTAGACTGCTGTGGGAGAGCAACCATATTGATTTGGGGCAGCATATTATGTTAAGCCATGATTATTTAAAATAAATTATAATTATTTATAATTTTGAGGTTTATGTGGCGTAAAAGGCTAATATAATTAGCACTAAATGTAACCATCGTAAGGGAGAGCTTGGTACTTGTTATGCCAAGTTAACTCCAATGGTTAACGTTAGAGAGTCACATGAATTCGGCAGTAAATTGTGATATTTAGATATTCATGATTTATTAGATATTTATGTTATGTTATCTTTATTTAGAGAGGAATTTTGAGAGTGTGTGTTTCTTTTCAACTAAGGGCGAGGGCATACCTTTATATACATTTTAATTTTACGTAGGGCTTACACTGTAGATTCATATTTTTTTTCAAGCCGTTATGTTTACAAATTGTGTAATCACATATTCGCTGCAACTATCACGTATTCGTGGTTGCATGAATTAAGTCCTAACAATGCGTTATAATGCCTAATACTACTAAATAAGATTAACATAGCTATGATGATAGAATTATGGAAGGTAAGTGATAATTTGAAGAATTAGACAAATGCAAAAATAAGAAACACAGGAAAAATTAATCATTACGTTAAAATACTACAATAGAATGAAAAATAAATTTCGAATAAATAATCACGACAAATTAAAAAACAATCTCGAATAAATTTTCTGAAGTAAATCAACAATTCAAGGTGCCAAAACAATCAAATGCATGGAAAATATTGTAACAAAACTAGGGATGGAAAAAAACGGGTTAAACAGTTTTTTAAACGTTTTTTATTGGTATAAACTTTTTTTAAACCATCGAAGTCTGAGATAAAATTTTGCTAAAACTGAAAATATTGCTTTTGATTAATTAATTTTAATTTTCAGCTGAGAATTTTTTTAAAAAGACATTGCTATAATTTTGAATTTATCAAATATTACGTAAAATAATAAAAAAATGTGTTTGTCGCCGCAGGTGACAGTCACCTGGTCCGGATCAGGGGTCGATCTAGATAAGTTTTTTTTTTTTGTTTATTTGTTTTGATTTTTCTTCGTACTAATACTGTAATACTTTCGCAGGTTTCTGATTTTTTGAACACCGGGTAAGGAAGCTTTTTCTTGGACAGTACGAATGCCTTTTTAAATCTTTGCGTTGCTTTATTCACTAACTCTTCTTTTATATAGTTGTTATTTCGTCATTGGAGTTGTCACTATTGGAGTCTTCGTCGTTGGAGTTTTTTGAGTTTTCGTGGAGTCTTCGTCGTTGGAGTTTTCATCGTTGGAGTCTTCGTCGTTGGAGTCTTCATCGTTGGAGTCTTCGTCATTGGAGTCTTCGTCGTTGGAGTCTTCATTGTTGGAGTTTCGTCATCGTTAGAGTCGGTATAAGTTTATTTAAATCCTTCGTGTTGCTTTTTTTTCTATACTATTCCTTCTTCCAGGTATGATTTCGTCGTTGGAATCGCTATTGAAGTTACTGTCATCGTTGGAATCGTGTATGAGTCGTTACGTTGTTTTCTTTTTCCTTTTTTTTTGATATTACTAACTCCTCTTCCAGTATGAGTCCGTCATTAGAGTCGCCGTTCTTCTTCCAGGTGTGATTAGTCGGTGTATGAGTCGTTATGTTGTTCTTTTTTTTGATATTACTAATGTCTTTTCTTTTTTGAAACCATCATTGGGGTCGCTGTTCTTCTTCCATGTGTGAATTTGTTGTTGTATGAGCATTGCGTTTTTTTTTGTTTTTTTTTGTATTACTAACTCCTCTTTTCTTCCAGTATGAAACCATCGTTGGAGTTGCGTCGTTCTTCTTCCAGGTGTGATTTCGTTGTTGGAGTCGGTGTATGAGTCGTGCTTTGTTTTTTTTTTGATATTACTAACACCTCTTTTCTTTTTTTTCTCAGTATGAAACCGTCGTTGAAGTCGCCGTTTTTCTTTCGTTGTTGAAGTCGGTGTATGAACCGTTATGTTCTTTTTTTTTTTTTTTTGATACCACTGTTGCCTCTTTTTTTCAGTATAATCCATCGTTGGAGTCGCTGTTCTTCTTCCATGTGTGATTTCGTTTAATGCGTTGTTTGTAGTGGATTTGTGGATTAATTGCGCGAATTAGTGTTGCATGGATTAGGTTGTGAATTAGATGTTTGTTTTGCGTGTGAAGGTTTTGTAGTTACGCTTGCATTAGCATTTTTTTTCTTCTTAATAAATAATAGCACGAGTTTGTTATTATAGTATTAAAAAAAAAAACTTAATAAAAAAAATGCCGTGATCAAATTTGATTGGTCGATTATGGGTCGTCAGCTGGGGTACGAGCTAATTTTCCGAAATTATAAACTTGCAATTTTATTGGTTGATCAAATCCGGTGACTGTCACCGCCGGCGACAAATAGATTTACCCAAAAAATTAATATATTTGTTCGCTTTGATCTTTATCAAAGCTGTCGATCACTATAATTCTTTAAATGCTAAATTTGTTTGTCGGCTAATACAACCTTTCATTCTATATTATATAGTTTTATATTAATTGGTATTGAAAGTCCAAGGCTTACAATATTGCCACTATGTAATAAGTTTTTCGAATGAATTATTTGAAGAACCAGAAACCTGTTTTTTGATTTTTTTTACATTTTAACGAATGACCTTTTAATTGGTCAACTAAATCAACACAGTCTTCTTTGCAAAATTACACTTTTGGCGAGGTGTTGTTCGATCAGGTTCAGCAGCTTTTGTAAGGCTTAAACAGACTTCTTTTGACGAGGATCTTTCACAAACAAGAAAAATTGTTTTGAAGAATTTTAATTCGATTGTTTTTTTTTTAATTTTGTAATCATAAATTACGCAATCGAATCATAAGTACGTCATAATATAAAACATTCTTTAATATATTTAGATCAAACAAACATGATTTTTAAGATCGTGTTTTAAAACATTTGCCATCTCTAAACAAAACGCATACACATGCTGGCAATACTTTAGAGTATGGGAACACTTGAAGAACAAGTACCCCAGTGATCATCACATTCCGTGAAATCATGCAATTACGTCATTTGTTTACTAGCACTAAATAAATTAGCCTAAATTAACGTAAGCCAAACACTTAATTAGGTTATGTGATTATCATAAAGATATCACTGAGTACTTGTTCTTCAATCTTCCCAAATTCTTAAGTAAAAAATATACCCTGCGATTATCGCATTATGTGAAATAATGGTTTACATTACATCCTACTCACAAAAAAAGGGGGACTGGAGGGAGTTTATTATAAAACTTTTCTCTGAAATGATCCGCGATATTATAAAAATTTCTGAAATTTTCCGCGTATATAGTGAGGGGGGAAGGCGGGAGAGGGGGTAACGTAAACCACTGAATCAAATTGGTCTCGGGACACTTGAAGATCAAGGAGCCCAGTGATATCTTCGTGATAATCACATCACATGAAATCATGCAACTACGTCATTGTTTACTAGCACTAAACAAATTAGCCTAAACTAACCTATCACACTAACCCTAACGTAGGCCGTACACTTAATCATGTGATGTGATTATCACGAAGATATCACTGGTCCTTAATCTTCAATCTTCTCTTGGTCTTGCCTTACTACACTAAATTTGGCCTAAAAATACTATCACCTAACCCTAACACTACTGTTAGAAGTAAATGGCCTTATGTTGATCATTCGAGTCATGTGACATGGTGAAATTAATTTATTTATCGTAGCTTAATAAAATGATTTATCGGGACACTTAAAGAACAAGTAACCCAGTGATTATTATGAATTATTACCCTCTTTATCATCACATATTAATTTTAATTGGTTAAAAATATATACAAAATCAGATAATATATCAATCACATAACATATGATATATCATTAGGCTTGTGTAACTATAATGCATCTAAAATTGAATCTTCCAGGATCTAAGCATTTTATTACTACAATATTAGAGAGAACGTTGGGATTTTAAATTGAGAGATAAAGTTTAGTACTTTTTTTTTGTCTATATTTTATTATATGTTTAAGCTGTTTCATTTTAATATAACTTTATATTTCTTCTGCTGTTTTGAAACACTACTAGGAGATTTGAATGAGATTCAGAATGGGTGTAGTAAAGCTTAGTTTTTTTTTTCTTGCATCTTTTGTTTTTTTATATGTTCTGTTTTTTGAACTATTACCAAGCCTTTATTTTTTTTAGATCAGTTTCTCAGGAACTTAATTTAGCTGTGTTTTTCAATTTAAACAGGTTACTTATCGTAGTATATAGTGTTTGAATAATACTTAGAATCTTGCAGCACTATGATTAATAGATTTCTCTAGCTAGATTTTAAAATTGATGGCTTATATCTTTTAGTTAAAGTGACGGTTAAAGAAGGATAAGTAAATAGCTTTTTCTTTTTTTAATTTTTACTTTTTTGAGTACAATACAAATATATTTTTTTTTTTTGGGATCTTATTATTATATTTGAATTGAGCAAAATATAGAACTTTTAAGTGTTTTAAGCAAATATAGATCTTCTGGAGCTTTATTTTTATTTTTTGAAAACAATTACTAATTTCTTTCTTTAAATATTATTATTATAGTTAGAATTCTTCGAATGATGATCTAAGAGAGGTATTATAAAATGAATTAAAGCTTTTTTTTTTTATAACTGTAGCTTTTTAATATATGTAATAACAATTTATTATTTATTATTATTATTGTTTATATAAGTGTAATTTATACTAATAAAATTTATTTTTTTCAAAGAAGCAATAATTAATAAAAATACAATCTTTGATTTTAATTTTCAGGTGGAGGTATCTAAAAATTATTATAAAATAAATATAAGAATTTATTTGAATTTTATTTTATTTGCTTTATTTAAAAAAAAAATACTAACTACCTTTTTTAATTTTTTACTATATAATATTATATGCTCCACTAACTTGTCAAATATGATATTATTATCTTTAGCAAATTGTCGTCTCCACATATATTCTAAAAAATAAGTATCCTATAGGTCTTTAACAGTACCATATCGTGGAAGAGATGTTTTTACTGCACGCCAAGTTGACTCAATCATATTTGTATGAACACCAGTTTCAGGGTTATTAAAATGTTTTGAGTGGTTGACCTTTCCATATTTCTAGCCATGCTTTTCAAAATTTTCTGTTTGGTAAGCAACCCAACAATCACTATAAATCATAGTACCCTTTTCTACATATTTTTCTAAAATTTTTGTTAATGTTTTTTTTGTACAGTCAGTAACTACTACTATAAATATATTATCTGAATCTCTTTCAATCCTCCAAAAACCCACTGCCCTTCTACTCTTTTCCTTTTATTATGCTTACATTTACCAAATTTACTCTTATCAATTTCTACAATTTTACCTTCACCACCAATTTTTTCAGATTTGATTTGTTAGTGCTATGCAGCATACATCACAGTAGAAGTTATACCAATCTACCATTGATTGAGCAAAAACACCAGATTCACAAATGGCAAATTGTTGAGGTAATTTATAAGACCAACAAAACATAATTTTTGCAACTTGTGCAAGAGTTAGTTTATAATGCTCTAACCAAGTTTCTAACCTCAAACTCTTCATAGCACTGCAAGCAGTTTTTGAAGTACAAGCCCATTTATAATTATCTTTACAAGAACGATCCTTTGACTTATACATAGAACTTTTACATTTAATACAAAAATTAATCTGAGAAAAAATACCAAGATTTTTGAAAAATTGTACAGCTTTTTCTGTATCTTGGGTGTTAAAATAGATGTCTCAATATGTTTTAACTAAGATACGTGTTGTTGTAAAAATTTCTTGATTTTCCATTTTTTTTTAAAAATAAACGATTAAAATATAATTTTTATTTTTATTTTTTAGAAAATTAATATAACAGCTAAGATATAAATAAAAAAAATTTATGCTACTATAATATGAATCTAAAAGCAATTTAATATTACAGTCACTTCTTTTATAATTTTTTGTACAATTATCGAAAGATACTTGGAATTATTGACATGCAATAGGTATATTTTTAATTTATTTTTTGTTTAAATTTTATTTTAATGAATTCAGCATGTATCAACAATAACAAATATTTAGAACCAAAATATTTCAAATTTTGTCCTTTCGAATTTAGTATGCATTTACAAAAACAAAGAATCAAATTAATTTAATTATCTTATTATTTTTTAAATTTATTACTTATATTTAGGATCAAATAAGTATATTACTCATTAGTAGAATATTATTACTTTCAATTTTTTATTTTCTTTTATTTTCATGAATTTGGCATGAATTTGGCATGTTGTTAGTATATTAATTTGTAAAAAATTACTTTTGTAAAAAATAATTAAAGAATCATGATGTTATTTAAAATAAATTCGCAATAGTTATAGTGATTGATTTAATTTATGCATATTAATTGCATATATATACGTAATTTATAATGTTGATTTTAATAATTTTTTATTTGTTATTCGTGATATTATATTAATAAATTCATAATGATTTAATGATTTATTTATTTAATTTAATTTTTGTATACTGCATGCCACTGTGATTGAAGTATAACATCACATATATTGATAAAAATAAAAAATTTGGCATGTCTAATAGCACTATTTGACATACCATTCAATGTACTATTTAAATTATCATATAGTTTCACGGACATTAATGTCCGTGAAGTCCCGTGAAGTCATGTGATAGGTAAATAAAATACTAAATAGCAATGCCATTTGACAATCAAATTTTTTATTTTTTACAAGTAATACAGTGAAGTTATAAATAAAATAACATTATGAATAAATAGTACTATATTTAGAAAGTTTTAGATAACATCATGAATAAATAACAGTACTGTGGTATAAATATTTTAATGAAAAGAATATAAAATTTTAGATAAAATTATGAACAGCAAAACAAATCATACTTTTATTCCTTTTATTATACTATTTTTTTTAAAAACTAGTATAGAATTACTGAAAAAATCACTATGAAATCATCACAATATTAATGGATTGGATATACATCTTTGTACTACCAGTAGTACATTTATTA